TCAGTATAAAAGTTGTCCTGGAAATCAGTAAAGGCCTGAGATAGTGAAAGGAATGAACTTCCTCATCCCTCTAAGTATTTTATTTTCTTTCTAAGCAATTGCAAATTATTTATAGAAGATACCAGGGATGAAATAACATAGCTGAAAAAGACTGAGATGATGTAGTCCAAACTTCCCCCTTTCAGATGAGGACAGAGAGATCAGATGTATCAGGTTACCGCAGAGCCAGGACTAAAATCCAGGTCTAGTGAATTAAAACCCATTGCTTTTCATTGAGTCCCATTTACTTTTTTTCACAGTATGAATGCATTTAAAAGGTAAATAGCTTGATTCATAGTGAAATCTTTTCATTTATAATGTTAATAGTTGCCCTTTAGCTATGGTGTTTCCTGGAAAGGATTCCCAATTAGCTTTCATCACTTTTGCTGCTTTCTAATGCTACTCTATTAAAACGAACTTAAAGCATCTCTAATGACTACTTCAGGGATGACATAATAGATTAGCTACAAACCCTTCCTTTCTCCACGAGGTTCGTTATCATGACAATGACTTCCACGTTATGCTCCCATATCATTCTCCAGAAGTCTTCGGCTGTGGATTTCAGTGGACCTTGGGCAGCAATGTAAGCTTTTGGTCTGTTGTAGCCCTGAAGAAATACATGATAAATGTTTCTTACTAACTGATGTATATGCCATCTTTAACTGTAAAACACTTAAGTTTTTAAGGTCAGCAGCAAACTTTTTCTATAAAAGAAAACCATAAAAAGTGTACTGGCAAAGTTGGAGAAACTTGATAGCATTAGCAAGAATAGCAACTCTTCTTTAACTATGATTTTGTAAAAAACAAAAAAAAAATAATAATAAGAGCTCTCTTTGCTGTGGCACAACCACAATTCTATACATCTTTATTCCAGGTGCATTTAATACAAATCTATTTACGATGATTAAAATCTGGTCCTTAATAATGCTGCTTTGAAATGTATTTTTAGGCACTGGGGCTCAGCTGTCGATAACAGTTAAAAAAACCTCTGGAATATGACCTCCTTACTCTCCCTGGTGGTACTGAGAAGTGCAAATCATTAATAGATCCGTCACTGAGCAGCCAATTTTGGACCAGATGTTTTACAAACATTAAGCTTAATCCTTCCTCTATGTAAAATGGAAGTATCATTCCTGATTTGGAGATGAGGAAACTGAAGCTCAAAGGAATTAAGTGACTTTCCAAGATCCCACAGCTAGCCAGCGGCAGAGCTGCGATTCAAAACCAGTTCTAACTCCAAGCCATGTTTGTTCTGACACATATACTGCCTCCACTGGAAGCATGAAGTGGCTGACTACAACAAACCCACTTTACACTTATGTACTCACTTCTTTGAATTCAGTGTTCCACATAGCATTGATCTGAAGGAAGCTAGACTGTGAGGTCAGTGTCAGGGAAAAAAGCGAGTTCCATTGACATTTGGGCGACCACAGTGGAAAACCAGTAGGTTAGTGAGTGGTCTACAGTCCCTTGCTGAGCTCCATTAATTTCCACAAAGCTGGGTACCCTGAAGGGTACTCAAAATTATGATGGCTGACAACTGGTTTAATAATCACGTTTTCCTTTTAGTGAGTACTACCATGAACATTTTTTAGTTAGGATTTATTGAGCACTTGCTATGTGCATAGCACCATGCCAAGAACTATGAGAAATGAAAACTAAGCACTGGTCCTGCCCTTCACATATAAGGACTTATAAACCTATCTGAATATACTTGTTCTACCTTGAATGTACATTCCAACCTGAATTCCTTCCCTCACCCAGGAGATAAACTAAGTATAAG